TGTCAGCAAGGAGTGCAGAACGCTTTCCTTCTTCGACCTTGACATCAGCAGCAATGACAGGGGCTGATCTGTCGTTGGTTTCTGTTTGTTTGAGTTCAGCACCCTTTTCGATGCCTTGAAGGAGTTGTCCTCTGTCATTCTTCTTGAGTTCAACATTCTTGTCGATGACTGGAGCTGACTTGTCAACAGTGGTTGTGTCTTTTAATTTGACATCCTTGAGTCCAGCGAGTTTTGATGCGTCCATTGCGGCTTTCGAGTTTTTAAAGTGCTTTTTATTTTAGAGGTTTTGTCGGTCTTTTTCAAGATGGACGTAATCTCGTATTTATAACTCTCATCATTTTTTGGCATTTTCTTGTCCCATTACTGTGTGACTATTTGGATATAAAGAGTTAATACCACAGTTTTAAGGAATATCAAAATACTCTTTCGAGGAAACGGAGTTGTGGGAATAATGAAAAATCACAAAAGCACCAATTTTAGATTAATTGATAATGAATTTAATTCAAAAAATTGATTGATTTCAATGTTCGTTTATGATAAAACAAGTTAGGAAATTAAAATAACCTCTTAATAATTGGATTGAAATAAAGGTGAATCACCACCTTTCTATTTTTTATATTTCATATTATTGAAATTTTAAACTTGAGACAAAAAAAATATTTTTTAGCTTTGTGATAAATAACTAATTTGATAATGTCAAGAAAGCGTACTTTGTTGTAAGACTTTGTTATTAGACTGCGAATTTGAGGCAAAAATAGTTTACGGTTCAAATTATCATTTACAAACTGAACAATTTTAATCTTGTTTTGAACAATTAAACCATTTTGTTATTATTGTGTAAATTTAAAATACTTTTGTTTTTTTTTATTTGTTTAAGGCAAAAACAATTTTGTGTTTTTTTCTTTATTCAAAAAAAATAAAAAGATTTGAATAAAATATATAACAAAAGTAAAAACATTTATTTTGAAAACAAACACAACATAACCAATTATTTACATTAAAAAATATGGATACAAACAATTGTTATTCAGCGCAACCATAATTATTTTTCTCCTAATAACTAAAAATGGAAAAGACATCAATTTTAAAAAACCGATAACACATTCTGTATTTACAAACCGACTAATTTGCCAAATTAAAGCTCTAAAAACACGATAAAAACTTCTTTGATGCACCAAAATTTGTTTTTTAAACAGATACTAATACACACAAACAGACAGACACCCGTATTATTAATAATTAGTTTTGTTTTTTTAATATTTTTATTTAATTATTATGTTTAAAAACATAAAACAAAAACAAACTTTAATAATGATATTTCATTAAAGTAAGTTTAGCAACCTTAGATGGATCCATTTCAGCAAGAGATTCATTGTAAAGTGTTTCAGTACGACTAAACAGTTTTTCACATGAGATGCTCGTTGTTTCAACAAAAAGGTACTTTTTCACTAAAGGTATCATGTGAAACAGTAAAGCAGAATCCATATTTCTTTTCCAATAGTTATCAACGGTGAGTCCTGCTTCATTATTGTCTCTCTCATACAATTCCATTATCGCCGCAGCCCTTGTTAGATTTGCTTTCTGAGTTGGAGGATTAAAGGACTGAAGCACCAAAAAACAGGCATTGCCATTTGTGGCTGTTTTTCATTGAATGATAAGTTTTTTTTTTCCAATTCAAAAACAAGCTTTTCAAAACAAAATTGCTTTTCTTCTTGTGTCAAATAACCATCACGTGTTTGTGGAAACAAGTAGCAAGGTAACAAATAAAGTGGGTCATTTAAAACCGTACCAAACCTAAGCAAAAAGGAGTTCATACCAAAAAGTTCCCAATCAAAGTTGTCATACATGTTGATGATGTCATTACCAGCAGTTTCTTCAAATTGGACTATTTCACTTTCAGCCGCATCATCTTCACATTCATAGTATTCAACCTTATCCAAATCCACTTTACAACTTTCTCCACGCGTCTCAAAACATTTTTTGAGAAGTTTAACAAGTGGAATAACAAAATGTATTGAAATGTTTTCAACTGCAAGTGTGTTGTAAAATGTGTTTAAAAGACCAGTCAATGGCAAAA